AACAATAACAATAATAATAATAATAATAATAATAATAATAATAATAATAATAATAATAATAATAACAATAATAATAATAATAATAATAATAATAATAATAAAATATAAAGTATGGACTATGGTGTTAAAGTACACCCCACCCTTTTTTATTTAACACGATTTTGCATCAAAAGAAATTAAAAATAATAATAAAATAATGCAAGAGTGAGGTATCCATTATTACACACTCATTAGTGTGAAGTGACACCAAATGGTATTAAGTGGCCATAAAAATGAGAGGCGGAACAAAAAAAACATGAAGTGGCTTAGAAAAAAAAAAAGAGAGACACATAGAGGACATGTGTCAAATGGGGACTAACTCTCCCCACTTATAAATACCTACCGCTGGCCTTTAACAGATGTTTGGTTTCTCTCTCTTTATTCAAAGTGGGCTTCTTCTCTCTCTTCACGTAAGTCTTCTACCTCTCTCATATTTCAATCATACTTTTCTCTCTCCCTCATCATAGCTTATTAATAATATTTTTATAATTCTATTATGATAATAATATTCCCATTCTCATAATAGTATTATTATTATTATCTCATTAAGATAATATTATGCTCTCTCTCTTATTTCAATCATTTTCTCTCCGTTATGGTATTCTAATAATAATACTCCTATTTCAATTATTTTCTCTACATCATCATACTCTCTTAATAATATTATGCTTAATAACATTCTCATAATGATAGTGTGCTTTTTAATCATGTTTTCATTATTAAGCTTTCATGATAATATTATGATTATAATATGATAGTATTCTTATAAAAATAATAATATTGGTTATATAATTATTTCATTCTCTTATAATAATATGATGATTGATAAAACTCTCATGATAAATGATGATTAATATTATTTTCATTATCATACTTTTATGATGATATCATGGTAGTCTCATTATTCTAAAATGATAGTATTTTTATAGAAATAATATAATTAATAATTTCATGAAGTATTATTTTCTCATAATAATAGTAATAATAATATTTCTCTCTCTCTTATATGAACATATTAATAATTTATTTCATATAAACTCATTTAGCCTTTTTTCTCATACCTTAGCTGAAGGTCAGTAATTTCAGGTTTTCTTTGGCAGTAGTAACAACATAACCATCTCGTGACATATAAAAGTAAGTGATCTCATTTTCCTGAAAATTAATCTGCTTTTAATAAAATTGTGATATCTCTTTCAATCATCTTTATATTATAAGTTTTATGTGTAAGTGATCGCATTATCTTGAAAAATAGTTTGTTTTCAATAAAATAATGATATTTCCATCCAACTTCTTTATTTTATAAGTTTTATGTGTAAGTGATCATATTTTCCTGAAAGTAGTTTGTTTTTAATAAAATAGTGATAGTTCTGTGTTTAACTTCGAATTTTCTTAAAAACTCTTCCATTGATAATGGATTGTATATCATGTTACATTTCAGGAATGTCCTTTAAGAAAGCTATCTTTCATAAATTATTGCCAAAATGTTTGACTAGTTACTTAAAGATATTTCAATGAAAGTGATTGTTTAAATTGCTTCAAGTGAATTCCGGTTAATGATTTCAATGATACTTTGCATATATAATGTTGCTACTTTCTGATGTTTAAAGAGTTTCAGAGATAATTTAAGTACAAGTGGACCTATCTAGGATTTCAGTAGGGATTACGTGGACTCATCTAGCTCACTGGAGAGGTATAAGTGGACCTATCTGGTACACCGATAGGGATTAAGTGGACTCATCGATACGCCGGTGAGGTATGAGTGGACCTGCAGGGATTAAGTGGACCTAGCCGGGACGCCGGTAGGGATTAAGTGGACCAATCAGGACGCTGGTGGGGTATATGAGTGACCTACTTGGAACGCCAGCAGGATATTTTGTGAAATCTTTTGAATGATGCATTTCTGTTAAAGTGTTTATATGCATTTCAATCATTTAGATTATGTTTAACTGTGTATTTGTGTAAGTGAAATTGTTCTCCATAAATGTTCTTCCTCTTATTGTTTTTAATAGACATCCTTTTTAAAAAAAATGTTGATATCTTCCAACGATGATTATTTTTAGGACTATAATGATCACTTACTGAGTAATTAAACTCATTAAATTATTATAAACTATTTTCAGAGTAATTGCAGCCCAACTATTCAGCAGGAGTAGCAGGAAAAGCTTTGAAGAAGTTTGTAAGATAAATTCAATCTTGTAACTTTTGTACTATCAATGTTATATATATATATATATAGCGAGAGAGAGAGAGAGAGAGAGAGAGAGAGAGAGAGAGAGTACTCGTCGTTAGTTATTAGTAAGCGAGTAGTAAGTTAACGTTAGTAACGTAAGTTAAGAACGTCGTGTAGTAAGTAAAGTTAAAAAGTTTAGTTTAG